TGCCCTCGTCAGGCACGTGAAATCATAGGCGGCGCACGGCTGCCAGTGATAGATCGGCGTGGAGGGGAATCAGGGGACGGGTAAGGGAAGGGAAATCTCAGAGCAAGGCCCCATTGCAGGGCCACCGTAGAGTGTGATGTGAGACACTCGTATTTTGGGCCACGAGTTGTGGCAATCGCAGGCTTGCTGGTTGCACGCCGCCATGGGCGCTCGCGCCCCTAGCTGATTGATGCAGCGATGGCGCTCGCGCCAAACGAGTCCGAAAACCAGCCCGTATCACTACGAGGGAGGAGCGAGAGGGGGGAGGGCGATGGGGGAGGGGGGGGAGGAAGCGGAGGAGAGAGGGAGGGAGTAGGAAGGAGAGGGACGGAGGGGGCGGAGAAGGCGGGTGAGGAGGACGGGGAGGGGGAGGGAGGAGAAAGAACGAAGGAGGAATGGGGGATAGAGGAGAGAAAGGGGGAGGACGGATGAGGGATGGAGCGCGGGTGGGTGGGAGGGGGGGGGGGCAGCGCCCGCGCCCGCGCCCGCGGGGTGGGCGGGTGCCGCTTCGGCGACTTCGAGGCTAGCGCGCCGCCGTCGCTTGCTTCCCCTCCTCTCCCCCTCCCCCAAGAGGTCGTCTTCGGTCGTACTCATCCTCCAAACTTTCGAGGCCTGCCGACGGGTCCGTCGTCGTCGTCGTCGTCGTCGTCGTCGTCGCGGTCGTCGCGATCGTCGTCGCGTGAGGCCCCCCTGGAGGGAGAGTACAACCGACGACGACGGCGACGACAATGACGGGGTCCGCTGGTCGTGCGGCGGCGGCGACGACAGCGGCCGCGGCGGCGACGACGACGACGACGGCAGTGGCGACGGCGACGGCGACGGCGGCGGCGGCGCGGCGGCGGCGACGAGGCCTCCGCACGCAAACAACTAGTTGGCCCGTAACTGGTCTCATCTCGCCCTTTGTTGAGACGCCGTGCTCGTAAGTGTTCGGAGGGTCAGGCCGTTTTCTTTCGGTTGCGGTGCATCTGATCATTAACTGCATGCTAGTTGATTCCCTGGAGTATATGTTGGTTGTGCCAGAGATGCTACAAACTAAAATGGGGTTGCCAAGTGCGTTTGTAAGTCACTCCTATACGCTTCATCCTGATGTAGCGAATTACCAACTTCTGAAAGTTATAACTGACAAGTATTCAACTGCGTTGGTTATATCAGTGGTTGCCCCTTCTATAATTGCGCTTGGCAGGCTTATAACCAAACTTGCAACCAACATGCAAGTGGCTTTGCGCACAATTCTGCAAAGCAGGGTCGGAGATCGCAGCCCCCCAGGGATGGCGAGGTATCGCTCAAGTCTGCGCGGTGCCTCGCTCGATCTGCTGAATCCGCCAGCAGCCCTTGGAAGTGGCGATAATAATGTCGCAGATCGCAGCCCCCCGGGGACGGCGAGGCTCCGCCCAGGTCTGCGCGGCGATTCACTCCGCTGGGCCTGCCAGCAGCCCTCGAAAGCGGCGACGGCGTCGCATATCGCAGCCCCCCAGGGTCGGCGAGCCCCCGCTCAGGCTGCGCGGCGCCTCGCTCCGCCGGACCCACCGGCGGCCTTGAAGGCGGCGGCTGCGTCGCTGAGCGCAGCCCCCCCGGGGCGGCGAGGCCCCTCTCAGGTCTGCGCGGTGCCTCGCTCCCTCGGGCCCACTGGCAGCCTTCGATAGCGGCGACAATGTCGCAGACCTCGCTCCAGCGGACCCACCGGCAGCCCTCGGCGTCGCAGAGCGCCCCCCGGGGACGGCGAGGTCCCGCTCAGGTCTGCGCGGCGCCTCGCTCCGCGGGGGCCGCCGGCGCCCTCCGAAAGCGCAGCCCCCAAGGGGCGGCGAGGTTCTAGACAGGCACCGCAGGATAACGCAGAGAGGGGGGAGAGAGAGAGAGAGAGAGAGAGAGAGAGAGAGAGAGAGAGAGAGAGAGAGAGAGAGAGAGAGAGACAGACAGAGACAGACAGAGACAGACAGACAGACAGACAGAGACAGACAGAGACAGACAGAGACAGAGACAGAGACAGAGACAGAGACAGAGACAGAGACAGAGACAGAGACAGAGACAGAGACAGAGACAGAGAGAGACAGAGACAGAGACAGAGACAGAGACAGAGACAGAGACAGAGACACAGAGACAGAGACACAGAGACACAGAGACACAGAGAGACAGAGACACAGAGAGACACAGAGAGACAGAGAGACAGAGACACAGAGACACAGAGACACAGAGACACAGAGACACAGAGACACAGAGACACAGAGACACAGAGACACAGAGACACAGAGACACAGAGACACAGAGACAGAGAGACAGAGAGACAGAGAGACAGAGAGACAGAGAGACAGAGAGACAGAGAGACAGAGAGACAGAGACAGAGACAGAGACAGAGACAGAGACAGAGACAGAGACAGAGACAGAGACAGAGAGAGAAAGAGAGAGAGAGAGAGAAAGAAAGAAAGAGAGAGAGAGGGGGCAATGTGAATACATTTAGATGTAGAAAGAAGGGACATGATAGATATATAGATAGAGAGAGAGAGAGAGACAAAAAAAAGAGCGAGAGAGAAAACGAGACGGGAAACGAGAGAAAGAGAGCAAGAGAGAAAGAGACAAAGAGATAATAATAGAGAGAGAGGGATACATATACATACATATATATATATATATACATATATATATATATATATACGGCATCCTTTAAACGGGGCCTATGCGGCCCCCAAACCTCAGGAAGCGCTCGCCGTTTAAACCACGTTTAAACCCGTAGTCACTTTGGCTTAGGCCCCTCTGGGGCAGGAGGAGCGGGGGGCCTCGCGGCGAAGGCCCCCCGCTTTGCTCGCGGCCAGCGACAGCCCCATTCTCCCCTGGCCGCAGTCCCCCGTTTCCCGACACCGCACTAGAGGAGTGTGGATGGTGCCGTGAGGCGCTGGCGGCGGATGCGCGCACGTGGGCCCCGCTGGCCGTTCCCTCGAGGCGCATGGTTCGATGGGAGGTCGAACGGCGGGTTGTTGGGGTCCGTGGGGCTGGCCGCTGGGGATCACCTGGAGTTGAAGGTCCACGACTACGAGGGCCGCGCCCAGGGCCGCGAGCTGCTGCGCGTGGAGATCGCCTACGCGCTCGACGAGACCACCGCAGAGGCGGTGTCGGCGGGCGGCCGCTACCTGCGGGCGCAGCGAGCCAGGCTGGCTCCGGCGACGAGGGCGCCGCGCGGCATGCTGGGATGCCGCCTGCCCCGCTGCCGCCGCTGCCGGAGCCCCCGCCCCCACAGCGACGGAGGGGGCCGATGGCGGCGAGGGCGAGCCAGCGGCCAAGCGGGCCCGCAAGGAGGGGCCGAGTGCCGCTCTCGGTGGCGCGGCCCCGCTCGGCGGGAGCCCGCTCGACGCAGAGGTCGCAGGGCTGGAGCGGGCGCTCGAGGACCCAGCCCTGGACGGGCGCCTGGCCCAGCTCGGCCAGCGGCTGCGGGCAGGCGCGGGCGGCGGCTCGGGGTCCCGAGCGGTCGCCAAGAACGCTGCCATGCCTAGCGCTGCTCGGGCACTGGCGCAGCGCGTGCAGGACCACACAGCTGCGGGGAGCGTTGCTCGAGCCTCTGCTGCGCCTGCTGGACGCGAGAGGCTGGCCGCGATGCTCACGGCAGCGCTGCTGGGCGGCGAGGGTGGCAGCGAGCTCAACGACGAGGCTCTGGCGCGCTGGATCGCGACACTTTTCAGGGGGTCAGCGTCAGGCGCGATTTGTTCCAGCGGATCGCGAAGCAGCGGCCGGGGGTCCTCCTGGAGAACGGGCCGGCGCACCTCAGGAGCCAGTTCACTCAACTGCTCCAGGCAGACCCCCTCGGCCCGCGCGTGACGCAGTACCTCAACACGGTGTTCTTCGTGGCGCACCCGCCGCGGACGCTCGACGTGGACGAGGTGCGTGTACTGCGGACGCTGGGCGAGGCGATCGACGGCTTGCTCCGCGGGCAGGTCGTCGAGGTCAGCGATTTGCTCATGCAGGAGTCCAAGGCCAGGGCGATGGCGCTGCGGGATGGCCATTGGCGCAGTGCTCGGTGGCCCACGCTGATCCCCAGCGAGAGCCTGCCCGCTGGCGCGTCCCGCGACGAGGAGGCTGCAGCCGAGCGGGTGGAGGCGCGCGAGATGAAGGTCGCCGAGCTGAAGCGCCGCCTCGCCGACAAGAAAGGACTCCTGTCGGGCTAGGGGTTTGGCCGGGAGCCCTCTCCAGCCCGGGGGGGCGGCTCCTGCTGGCCACAGTCTCGCGGAGGCGAGACCCCAGACCCCGGCAGCGACGCCCGTGGCGGGCTCTGCTGCAGCGCTGCGGATTTTGGCGAGCCGCGCACCAGTGGGAGTCAGCAGCGCGGCCCCAGCAAAGCAGAGGACAGCCCCGCGCTCGGCGCCAGAATCTCCACGGCTCAGCGGGGGCCCAGCAGCAGCAGCAGCAGCAGTGCAGAGCGGGCTACCTCCAGAGCTGCCAGCGATTGCAGACGGGAGCCCCGACAGCTCGCCAGCGGACTCTCGTCCTCAGCTCACCTGGAAGGAGTCGAAGGTTGCAAACCCCCGCCGCCCCGACGAGAGTCGACGCGACTGGAAGTCGCGCCTGGTCGTCTCGAAGATGGCTCGCCGGAGCGGGCCAGGAGGAGCAGCGGCGGCACGTCGTGGACGAGGAGCAGCTCCAGGCCGCGGGCGCGGCGCAACCCGGACCAAGGTGGCGAGGCAGCCTTGGGCCCCGGAGAGGCGCTGAGCCCCGGCCAGGCAGGCCAGAGCCTGGCAACTGCTGCTGGCGACCATGCAGGTGCGGCGGGCGCGCGCGAGGAGCAGCGCCTGCGAGGACCTGTGCAGAGCCGCCGCTGGAGGAAGCTACTCGCCAGTGCAGGGAGGCCAGGAGGGCGACCACGGTTCGAGCTAGTCATGATGTTCTACGAGGCGGTACACGGTGCTCCAGGAGATGTCGGGAGGTTTGTTCGTGGCGCTCCGCCAGTGCAGCGAGCGCGCCGCGCGCGGATGCGCGAGGTGCTGCCGCTTCCCATTCCTGACGCTCCTGGGTTTATGAGGTGCCGTGCAGAGTGGCTGGACCATGGTACGGTCCCCGAGACTGGCCTGGATGCTGCAATCGCTGAGGGCTGGGCAGTGCTGGTCGTGCACTCCCTGAGCCACCAATATGCTGGACATGCTAAGGGCAGCCTGGTCCCCACTGGTCCTCTTACGGCTGCGCAGGAGAGCTCGGTGCGCGTCATTCGCAAGGCTGCCAAGTACTTCGGCTCAGACTCTGCGAAAGACTTCCAGGTTTCTGACTGGCATGAGGTCGCTGCTGCACGTGATGCCACGTACGGAGGCGAGGAGGTGTCGCGGGCCCTGCCGCTCACGCTGGGAGGTGTCATGCCAGGCCTTCCGCCGAGAGGCGTTGCTGCTTCAGTGCGTGCGCTGGACATCGCCGACGAGCGTGTGGCTGGGTGGCTGGCAGATCCCACGTTGGCACTGCTGCCCAAGGCCGAGTGACCGGAGGAGGTCCCGCGAGCGGCCATCCAGGCTAGCTCGAAGGCAGAGTGGCATTGCATTGGCGCCAAGCTGGTGGAGTTAGGCCTCGCGGTGCCCATCGCCGATGACCGGATCTTCAAGGTGGGCAACAGGAAGGTGCTAGCAGGTGCTTTCGGGGTCGCCAAGGGAGGAACTCCCACTCCTGGTCATGATGTGGCGCAGCGGCCCATCATCAACATGGTCCCCGCAAACAGCTGCCAGCGGACGATGCGGGATGACATTGGGACCCTCAGCGCCTCGCCGTCGTGGGTCTCGATTCCACTTCCTGAGGGACATGTGCTGCTGTGGTCATCCGACGATCAGTCGTCAGCATTCTACTGCTACGAGTTGTCCGAGGCGTGGCAGCCCTACATGACCTTAGCTGAGGCGATCCCCAACGAGCTCATCGGGGTCAACGGGGCAGTGCAGACGCACATCGCTTTGCGTGTCATCCCGATGGGCTGGATCAATGCTGTCACAGTCTTCCAGCACTGCCATCGGCGTCTCGGCTTTGGGCTGAAGCCACTTGCTGCAGGGTTACCGCCCCAAGCTGAGTGGAGGAAGGACCGCCCGTTGCCCCTGAGAGCGAAGGAGCTGGAGCAAGCCTGGGTGCAGTATTACATCGACGACTGGGACCACTGGGAGATCGTCCAGAGTAGCCGCCTGGAGGAGCTGGCCGGCACGCTTAGCGAGTTCCAGGCTGAGCAGCGAGCCGCCTACCAGAGGAGCGGCATCCAAGCTGCTGAAGGCAAGGCCAAGCACCGCGAGCTCGTCCTGGAGCGCATGGGTGCTGGGCTTGACGGCATGGTCGGCCGAGTCGGAGTCACAGTTGAGAAGCAGCTCCTGCTCTTGGCGCTCGTGATGTGGGTGATGGGCCAGCCTCAGGTCACGGTCAAGGCGATGCTTGTGGTGCTGGGCCGCTGTGTGCGCGTGGCGGAGTTCCGCTGGCCGTTCATGGGGTTCCTGAACGAGTCCTGGGCGGCTGGGCAGTGGCGGTATCCGCAAGCTGTGCCCTCTGTCATGTGCGGCGAGCTCCTGGTCTTCTGCGTGGCCCTCCCCCTGGCTTTCACCGACTTGCGGGCCAAGATCGACGCGGGGGTGATAGCGACGGATGCGAGCGAGCAGGCGGGCGGCATCTGCTATTCCGCTGGCCTCACCGCTCGGGGAGCGCAGGCCGCCACAGGCGAAGGAGGACTGTGCGAGGAAGCCGTGCACGCCACCTTCGCGGCGCCTCAGATGATACGATGGCGGCCGCGCGTCATCTTAGTGGAGTTGTTCGCCGGGGCTGCTGCCGCTGCCGTGGCCGCGCGTCGCCTGCCCATGAGCGTGGCCGCCCACCTCTGCTCGGAGGTAGAGCCGGCAGCGCGACGGCTGGTGCGGCGGCGGTGGCCGGGTGTCATTGAGCTGGGCAACATCGAGGCCTTGGACCTTGAGCGCTTCACCCGCATGCTGGAGGGGTTCAGGCGCGACGCCGACTGGGTCATCATTACTGCAGGGAGTCCGCGCCAGGATCTCTCTACCCTCAACGCGGTGGGCAAGGGCCTGGAAGGGGACAGGGGCAAGTTATTCTGGATGGTCCCTGCCCTCATCGAAGCCTCCAAACGCGCGTTCGGCACGCGCGTCGATTGGTTCGTCGAGAACGTGTTCAGCATGGGCGCCGAGGCGAGGGGCCAGTTCTCGCAGGCGCTGGGCGTCGCGCCGTTGCTGTTAGAGGCGGAGGACTTCACCAGGGTGCGCAGGCCCCGTCTTTTCTGGTGCCCCTGGCCCGCCTGCAGTCACCTTCCGCACGGCACGAGCATCGAGGTGAAGAGCGAGGGCATCGGTCAGTATAACAAGGTTGAGGTCAGCGTGGAGCGCGCCGCTGCTGACCTTTGGCCACTGCCAGGTTGGAGGCTGGACGACCCTGAGGTGGACCTTCCTTGCTTCACCAGGCCAGTTCCATGGCGACACCCGCCGCTGAGGCCTGTCGGCCTGGAGCGTGCCAGTCCCACTGCGCTGGCGCGCTGGGCCGCAGATCAGCACCGCTATCAAGTCAGCAATTATGAGGATGCCGTGCTGCTGTGGAGCGCCGATCGAGCGCAAGGTAGGCTCCCTGTCGCTGAGGAGCGGGGTGTTCTCATGGGGTTTGATAAGCGGTACTTTGAAGCAGCCGTCAAGGACAGCGTCCCCTCGGCAGAAAGAGACATCATCATGGAATGCCTTGTCGGTAATACGTTCTGTGTCCAGTGCGTCATGTTCCTTTTCGGCAGCTGGCTGGCTCAAATTGGGGCTTTGTCCGCTCCGGCCCAACTGGAACATCGACGCCGATTTTAAGACTCCTGGCTACAGGCACGCCACCGCTGAGCGGGGGCTCATCGTCGACTTCTTGCGCATGGCCGATCGGGGTGGCACGGACGTCAGACTTGACTGTGGTGCCCCGTGCCGAGCTCGGGCGTGGCCATGGTCGGCCCTTCGGACGTCGCTGTGGGCTTGGCGCGTTGCCAAGAGTTTCAGGTGGCAGCGACCAGCTCACATCTCCGAGAAGTAGCTGGAGGCCGCAGTGGCTGGAGCCAGGTGGCGCTGCAGAGACGTGGCGACGCACGGCTGCCGCTACCTGCATCTTCTCGATGCCGAAACGGTGGCAGCAGTCTGCACGAAGTGCAGGTCAAGCGCCTGGCGACTCCAGCCAGGGATTAGGCGCCTCAATGCGCTCACGCTCGCGACCAACTGCTACCCGATGTACAGCTACTGCGACACGGACGACATGCCCGCGGACGCCCCCTCCGGGTGGACAGGGGCGCGCAGCGGCCAAGGTGAGGAGAGTGGCAGCGAAGGCTCTCGCGCGAAGGACGGCCGCCCGCAGCGGGCCCCTGCGAGAGCTGGCGGTCACGCCTCTCACGCGGAAGCGCTACCAGGGGGCGGTTGACAGCGTCTTTGACTGGTTGGTCGAGCAGAAGCGTGAGGTCAAATTTGCAGTGCAAGCGGACATGGGCCTGGTTGACTACATTGAAGGGCGCCGTGCCGCAGGCGGGTCCCTGCTCGACGTCAACTGCGCCATCGCAGGTATGTGCCACCACTTCCCCCCGCTCCGCGGTCGACTCCGAGAGAGTTGGCGCCTGGCTCGCACGTGGCAGCGTGCTGAGCCGGCAGGGCGTGCGCTTCCAATCGCACCGCTCATCGCACTTGCGTTCTCCGGCGGCTTTCTCACGGCTGGATTCCCAGCCGCCGCCGCCATCCTGCTGGCAGCCTATGACACGTACCTCAGGACGGGGCACGACATCATTATGTATGAGAATTCAGGTTCAGCCATGATCAAGCTGCGCGATAGAGCCAGCACCAGACGGGAGCGGGAGAGTTCGTCATGTTGCGCTCGCAGACGGCAATGGCGCTGCTGCTGAAGGCACGCGAGCTGGCAGGGACTGCCAGCCGGTGCGAGCAGCCAGCCATTGGCATGCCGCCCGCGGCCTTCCAGCGAGTGTTCGCGGACATCCGCTCGTGCCTCCAGCTGGAGGACCAGAGGCTCACCCTCTACAGCTGGAGGCGAGGAGGTGCCAGCGCCGACTTCCGCTCGCACGGGTCCATGGAGACCACGCTGCTCCGAGGGCGTTGGGCCAGTGTGCGGACGGCGCGCCTGTGCGTCCAGGACGCCGTCGCCGAGGCGACGACGATCGCGCTGCTGCCAGACCAGCGCGCCGTTTGCCTACACCTGGCAAGCCGAGTGAGGTAAACACGCCGCTCGTTTTCTGCCCTCCTTTATCGTCCCTCTCTATTCCCATCTTCATCCGCACATTCGATGGGGTGAGGGTCTCGGGTCACGGTGGTGGAGTTCGCTGTACAGCCAGTTTAGGGTCCGTGGAGCCAGAACATCGCCCCCGACAGGCTCTCCCAGGGGGGGGGCGGCCTTGTGCCTCCCGAGGTGCCCAGGCGCGCTCCTCCTGGCTGGTGCTCGCCAGCTGGGGGGGGGGGGGGGGCGGGAAGCACGCTTGGCCCTCCTCCTGGGGGGGCCTGTCGGGGGGGGCTCGGCCCTGACCAAAGCGACTCCTGGCGGAGCGCTAAAAACAGGGAGTGGGGTTAGCATATGGTATCCTTTAGAGGGGGCCTATGCGGCTCCCAAACCCCAGGAAGCGCTTGCCGTTTAAACCACGTTTAAACCCGTTGTCACGTTGGCCCGCCCGACAACGATCGGCGTGGCTTCTTGCGAGGCTGGTGCGCCTGGCGGTCCTCGGTGCCTCGAGCCCCTCGGGATCCGCCTTGAGCCAGAACCTCGCCACCGACTGGCTCTCCCAGGGGGGGGGGGCGGCCTTGTGCCTCCCGAGGTGCCCAGGCGCGCTCCTCCTGGCTGGTGCTCGCCAGCTTGGGGGGGAGGGGGGGGGGGGGGGGGGTAGCATGCTTGGCCCCCCTCCCGGGGGGGCCTGTCGGGGGGGGCTCGGCCCTGACCAAAGCGACTCCTGGCGGAGCGCTAAAAACAGGGAGTGGGGTTAGCACACACACACACCCATATATATATATATAACAACAACAAAAGCCCCTCTCGGCTCTGGCGATTGCGGCGGGGCTGGTGGAGGCACCAGGTGGGCGCCAAATGTCCGCCACACGATGAGGGCACCGCCGCGGCCGTGCTCCCGAGGGAGCCGTGGCATGATGGCCGCCCGAGTGTCCTTCCTTTGGCTCGCGGTCTTCAACCCATTCAGTCTCGTGGGCACTCGCGGCGAGGAGGTCAGTGCACAGCTCAAGCAAGTGCACATCGTCGCATGCCCTGGCACAAAGATCTCGAAACATCCTCATAGTGCTCATCACACTCAGAACTACGATCACCACATGGCCATTCACTTCGGCTACGGCAGGCCCAGCATGCACATCAACAACTCAGCGGGCTGCGCGATTCTCCTGAACTCGAGGTTCAAGACCAGACACATAAAGGACATCACATGCCCCCCCCCCAGGAACTACTTGGACGTGGGGGCGCCATCACTCTCGAGCAGGGCGCGACCAAGCTCAAGATCATCGTAGCATACTCACCACCAGCCCCATGGGATAAGAAGAAGGTCCCGCAGTGGAGGGCCACAATGACGAAGCTTGCAGCATGGGTACACACAGAGCTGTTGTCCACACCATCGAGATTCACTCCGATCGTCATGATGGACCTGAACGATAGATTCGCCACGGGACCCGACGGCGACGAGACGGTCGGCTCCTTCCCTACTGGTCGCGAAGGAGAAGCGGGCAAACTATATCATATGAACATGCTCAACAATTACATGGCGGTGGCGAACACTTATTATGAGACGGGCCCCACATACGTGGGCAGATTCCCCTCGGCCACGGGGTACATTTTCATGCCCACTGGCCTGATCTCACGAATTCAGAGCTGCCGAGTTTGGAATCATTCTGCTTGTGCTCTTCAGATTTCAAGAAAGTTCAAGGATCACAAGCCCCTCGTCATCAAGATCGAGGCACCCCCCATCATGCCATACGGAGGGCACGGCAATCCAGCATTTCGACCGAGACGCACTGGCACTGGATCTGAAGGAAGGCAATAAACGTGAAGAGTTTCTCAAAAGCCTCGAGGACCAGCTGACGACCCACGCGGAGTTGCTCGACACCTACCTGGACTACGAAGACGGCACATATCACTGGGGACTCACCATGCAGTGCTTTCGTGGCGCGGCCTTGGAACATTTCTCATTGCAAGTACGACGGCCACAATGGTATAAGGAGGCTCGCGCCGAAAAACTCACTAAGCTAAAACAACGAGCCGACCTTCGTATTCAGCGGACTCAGATGGAAGAAGCTAAGTCACTGGAAGAGGAGATCGAAAACTTGGACACACACATCCGCGACCTCAGCAAGAAACTTACTCGACACATCAAGGACACCAATCACAAGTACACAGAGATTCAGTGTGAAGACTTATGGCAGGCATGGCGTGATCGACGGCCCGCAGAATGTCATCGAGTCACCAAAGGCATGCTACGACACCGACTACGACCACGACGGCGATTCTATGGCATATTACCGAGCAGCAGACCGAGCACCTACCAGTGGCAACTGTTCTTGGAACGACCAGGTGCTGAAGGAGGCTTACTCGCAGTACCAGCACCAGTTCACGTACCGACACGTGCCGAACTCCTACCAGCGCCGTCTAATATAGGATGCAGGCCAAATGCCAGCTCGATTGCCCTCGGGGATCTAGGTTCCGTGCCGCCTCGTCGCCTCTCTCATGTGCTGGATGCCTCGAATCCCCAGGCCCAGGTCCCGCCAGGCCAGGAGGCCCACTCACGGAGGCGCCGCGCCCCTCTTGGGACCACGCCCGCCTTGGGCCAACCACGGCCCTACAATCAAGGCATGGATGAACCAGAGGCCTCGTTCGATGATATGATGAACCAAGACGAGCCCGACATGCCTTTCGAAATGGACCCACCTACGCCTATGCCGAGCACACCACCTCCTACGGCACCGAGTGCAGCTACTTCGACTTCGAATATCACGCCCGCGCCCAGATCGGCAAACCAGGGCCTCCAGCTCAACTTCATCACCGAGGCCGTCGACGAGCTGGCAGCCGTCACGAAACTCTCGGGCAAGGCAAAAAGACGGAAATATGCGCCTCCTTTCGCGGTCCCAGCAGAAGTATTACTCATGGTACTCCAACCTGAAGTACTACGACGACCAGGGAGAGCTCGAGGGGGGATCGGTGCTTCCAACGCGCCCGTCGCAGATGAAGACCCCTCTCGGCGAAAGCTCCAGCTGCCTCAACAGTATCGACTCGGACAATCACTCCTACTCGCAGCTCTGGCCCACGTACGACAACACGACCGTGTACCGATGCAGGCTAACACTTCACACAACAGCTTTCAGTTAGACGAAGGCAAGATGCTCCCTGGGCCAAGTGGACTTCGACTCATACATTGCTTCGACGTCTTCTGGAGATGTTTTTTTTTCTCAGATATCTACGCGAACGAGGCTTCCCTTCTCCACCACCTGACTACGCCTATGGAGGTATTGCACACCGACGGCGAGAATATGGCATGATCGTGGCTCGAGTGATGGCTAGCAAGTTGCGCAAAGCAAAAGTTGCCTTCGCAGTTCGCTCTCACGATGGACGGAATGCCTTCGGGTGTACACAGCACGCCGCGATCACAGAACACGTTCTTCCAGCATTCCGAGCAGGCGATCGGCAACTCGTGCAGCAGCGCAGGAGCGAGCCCCAGACCATCGTCGACGCGAGCGACGGCACGCTCCTGATGCGCAACAGGGAAGGAGGACTGGTGGGATGCTCTAACGAACCCGACGCCTTCATGAAGGTGTACAACGCGAAGCTGGAGGAATGGCGTGAAGATGCCAAGGCCACGATTTCCAACCTGATGTTACAATCATGCGCACCAAAGTGGGACCCAGACACCAAGAAGCAGGCCATGGACGCACAGGGCAACCTTCACGACGCGACCACCACTGTGAACGACGCGCTGGCCATGATTATCGAGCGCGACCTGGACTCACTACGGCGACATCTTCGGACTGGCGGATTTGGACCGAATGAATCTAAGGAGGAAATCGTTCACAGCATCCCCTCTAAGTTACAACACCGAGCATTCTTCGACGACAACCGAATCAACTGCCGCAAGCTCACCGCCATGAAGCACGTGGGAGGCATGTTTGACGGAAAGGACACCTTCGGCGCAGAAAGAGACGCACGCCTACGAGCTGCGAATTCTGGATGGAGTCAGTACCATCACTTCTGGTTCAGTCGTGCTCCGAGACGACTAAAAAGATTTTTTTTTTTTTTTTTTTTTTTTTTTTTTTTTTGGCAATGGTCTACGAGGCAGCGATCAGTGGCGCCGAGACTTACTACTTGCACACGACCGACTACAAAAAACTGGACACTACCCTGGGCAAGAAACTTCGTGCTATGCTGAAGGGCAAAGGCTGTATCCGCACCCAGGACCGCTACAAGTCGATATCGGCAGCTGAGGTCTGGCGACGATGGGAGATTGCACCGAGTTCAATCGAGCTGAAAGTGCGACGTCTTAAACTTCTTCAGGGCGCCGCAGCACACCCCGACGACTCCAAACAGATGGTCTCGGTCCTGTTCGGTGAACTCCAGATTGAGCATCACCTACGTGAACTCGAATTGCCCGTGGCACCACGCACGTTAGACGATGACGGCTACATCAACCTCGACGCGCACCTCATCGCTCGACAGTTTTCCACGGATATACAGGACATGCTGGTCCTGGACATCGCCGAGCCTCTGGAATACTTTGACTGGCGAGGCAACCTGGTGGAGTTGTTTACAGAGCCCGACGTAGCAGAAGCTTTCTGTGGCGTCGACGTGAGCATGATGAGGGCAGCTTACCTTCGGCGCGCCTTTGCGCCTCCTGGAGCTCTTGCAGAGCTCCCCTCAGAAGTGGCCCCGTCTGACGAGGCCGAACTGTTCATCTGCACGCTGAAAACGTCCGAGGGTATCGCATGCATGTCCAAGTGGATGAGCGCACGAGCACTATATGCACACCAGCGGGGACTCGCACCAGGGGGAGAACATGGTATGTGCTGCTTATTATCACAGCTCACGATCACGAACGAGTGTACCATATGCGGTACTACATTCCTTACACGTGTGGGAGCACAACATCATATCACAGCTGCATGGAAATCACACATATGTCGCACGGATCAGACATGGGCACCATATCCTATCACGTCCCCGAAGACACTAACATGCCCAGTATG